TACAGAATTAAATGTAGCGTTTCACCAAAAAGGTAAAGTCTGAAAAACAGCTCAAGCTGAGACTCTTGCCTTTTTATCTACATGTGTAACTTCAGATTATGTTATTTAAGGCTAAATTATTATTTAATGTAGATAAATAAAGCTCTTATTATTACTATTATTATTATTACTAAAATCGCTATATATGTTATATCTATATGTTATTATATACATACCTTGTCTTTCATAGAACACGTAATTATAAGCTCTCGTTATATAATCCATTTCCATACAATAATTGTGTATCAAATTTCTGTTTTCACAATGTACACTCGTCCTTTCCTTATGAATTCTCAAATAACATTAAATTAAATTAATTTAAATGATTATTTGGATAATTTATGCTGTATTATTGTTCTGAGTATAGAGTGATTTTAAGGCTATACACTCTGTAAATAGACTACGTTGATACATACATGACTATTATTATCTATTTAATCACTGCTCGTCTATATAAAGGTTAAATTGTATATCAATAATGTGTTATTTTTTTATCTTGTTTCTCATATATTTTTTGCAATCTGCATAGTAATGCCAATCTTAGCATACGTTACATCTTCCCGGCAGTTTCGAAAAATGGTGTATTCCAGCGTGATATGGTCGAGTTTTTGAAATTTGACTAGCCAGATAGAAAGTCGTTATTTCGTCGAGTCTACTCGCAAAAAACTAGATTTAGTCGGTCCGCCATTCAAAAGTTATAAGGGTGTTTTACTGTCCACGCTGGAATAAGCTTATTCCAGCGGCACCATTTCTCGATCTCGAGAACCACAACACCTAGCTTAGATCTGATCACACTAAAAAAATCGTGATTAAGTCGGTTCTAGTTTACAGCCTTTGGAGTCGATACCCTTGGCCCGTGGGGTCCCAGTACCAATCATCTGTATAAAATTTTGTCCAAAAAATTAATAGACTGTCTGGGAAACCCAAGGGGCGGCAGCTACCTTGCCCATCGCATTAGTATAGCAATACAAAGGGGGAACGCTGCCAGCATGTTGGGCACCTTGTCGCGGGACCCAATTTTATTCATATAATTTAAAAATCCTAGTTTTACTTTCTAGTATGTAAGCTTTTATTGTCTTTTTTACCTTAACTGTATATTATCAAAATAAAATAAAATATTATACAAAACTTTAATATATAGATTTTGTTAAACAACCGGCCTTTATATGCATTGACTTGGAAATGTTATATAACTTTCATGTTATTTAAATTATATTCATGCCATTATAAAGTCTATACGAATTTGAATTCTGTGCATCATGCTGCGATTTGTTGTATAAACACTGTTGCCGAGCAAAATTAAATTAAATGTAATAGTTAAATATCTTATAGTCATTATTGGAATATTTCGACTCATCCGAAGAACATGTCCGATGTGATTATACAGCGAAAAGAGGTAAAAATATAATCTCGTTCTTCAAAAGGCCTATATAAAGGTGTTTTTAGATTTTTCATGTATTTATTATTTCGGAAATATAAAATCGAACTACTGTCGATCTTGACTGTGGCTATCCGCAGTCAAGAACAACAAACGAAATGTACAATATCCCGAGAACAAGCAGCATCTTGCACATAGGCCGTTGTTCTACGGATGAGTCGATTTATTACGTCTCATTTGTTTGTTTTTTTTACGACACCAAGTGACGGGACAAACAAATCTTGCGCCTAGTGGTAAGGGACACACCTGTCCATAACACTTGCAGTGCCACTCAGAGCTTTAAATTGCGGAGATCTGAGAGGCACTGCCACTGCGTCCGTCACCCTAAGCCATAACATCGCTAACTTTCTCAAACTCGTATCTTAAAGCACAAAGTTACTGAAATGCAAAAAATGAATTGTATATACGTATTTTGGAGGCTGATTTCATATTACATTTCCATCATATTCACACACTGGCTTTTTATCTATTCTTAAAGTAATGCATCCAAATTAACACCCTTGATAAGAAATTTAAAATAAATACAAAGTTTTGCCATCTCCTGAATAATTACTCTTTATAAGATACGAGTTTGAGAAATTGAGGCGTCGATAAGTTGACAAGTCTCATGTCGAGGCTTTATTGATTAGAGTGACTATAAACAATGAGACCCAAAATGGTCGTCACTGAGTATTTTCAGGGTTGAAGAGCCACCACACTTATAACCTTTCAAAATTAACATTTAATTTATAATCCGAGACTAACTTACTCTGGTCATTGCTATCGCTATTTAGCTTTTTACTGACTCTATGTGTGAGTTTGCTTACTAAAAGTCCGTTGATATGGCGCCATCAAAAAAAAAATTATACCAAATTTTTAACTGTCTATAAAACTAATGAATTATTTATCTTCTATTCCAGTCAAAGGAAAAAATGACTCGCGGCGTGCGCAGGGGCTGCGTTCGGCTGCGGGCTGCCGTCATCGGCATCGATGATGAAGACGACTCCACGTTCACCATCACCGTCGATCATAAGACTTTTCACTTTCAGGTAATACATGCCCTTTGAGAGAAAAGAACAATTTTAAAGGTTGAACCTCATTCATCACCTAACACAGTAAATAGTAATTAAAAAATATTTATTTATTTCCATATAAATGTAAAAAAGACGGCTTTGTTTAATTGTGGAACGCGATAACTAATTAATAATACTGTTTGTTGAAGTTCAGGTGAACCTGTTTGTTAAAGGACAATGACATAGCGTTTGTGTCGCGATTTGTTCAATAATTGGTTGTTACCAGGCTCTGGCAGACACTAAGCTCTATTGGGGCCTACAAAAACGACTAAAGGAGGAAATTTTTTATGTATGGCATCTCTCACAGTCTTGAAGTTCCAATGCCTGTGTTAGAGAAACGTTTTTTTAAGTAGGTGGACTTGGCTCTGGACAGTAAGCTCACTCAGAAGATGCCTTACCAGTTGCACTCGGGTTGTATGTGTTCGGAACCATTGTCGCAGGCAGGGAATTCTATCCCTGGGCTGTACACGTAATAAAAGATGACGAAAACCGCTTAGTACGCCTGAAGGGAATATCGGTCAAGTAAAGATGATATCTCGCCGTATGTCTTGATATCCTGTGGTAAAAGGGGGCGGGCGGGATGAGCTGATGGAGCTCTTGAGCACACTCCCTGAATATATTCTGTAGAAACCCTCAACTTTGCGCCAGTGGGCTAAACTATGAAGTTTAGATTCGACGATATCGTCGCCTTAAGCTCGAATCGGGTTGAGAAAAAGACTAGGAAATAAATATATCAATATAAAAAAAAACGAAAAGAAAATACAAATTACTAACAATACAAACTTGTTAAATGCATCTACGGCTCTCCTACAGAGAGAGTACATAGCCGTCACAGATATTCGGCTGTAATTAACAAACAGATACCTATTTAAACGATTGTTTTCTATTTTTTTTTTCATTTGACCTCCATCTCACCTGTTAAAAAGTGATGATGAGGTCGACGATGTAACATGCACACCTAAGTAATGCCTATTCACTCTCGCCTTGAAAAGGTCCAAGTTATAGCATTCGGGGATTAAGTCCGCAAGCAGGCTTAAAGAGCTCTTACGTTTTCGCCATCGAGTATATAACCAGAAATAACAAATCATTACGGTGACAACTCGCGCTCCGATTGGCCAGCCCATATTAAAAACAATTGACGGGTGTCGTCAATTGTTTCACTTGAAATCGTCAAGTGTAACTTGAGCTTTGCTATAATGGACGAAAATTGAAAAATTACATATTTAATGTTTAATTACCGATGAAAAGTGATTCCGTTTGTTTTGTAACTAGATGTTTTGCTATTTTCCCCACACCACCGAATGGAACAGCTCCCCATTGTTAGAGATATTATCTTTATTACAGTAAATACAGAATATTTTTGGAATGTACGGAGACGTACACACAGGTCAGTTGTTGGCGCTGTACTATTTCAGCTTTCTAATTTGTGTTTTCAGCGCAAACGAGAGTTAACATTTAAAAGTGAAATAAGGCCCGTTTGCCTGAGAGTTGCCAGTGATGGATGGCCCTTATTTCGTCTCTATTTCTGGTTATATACTCGATGGTCTTCGCGATTCATTTATTCGTATTATACAACTTACACTAACAGTAACTCTAACTAAACATGTAAGCAATAGTCAATGTAGGGTTGAGCCAAACACCGCCCAAAAGCAAGCTGCTGAATTTCGATCACAGAGCTTAATGCGGCGACCGTCTCCAAGTACTAACCAGCCGATGTCAGAAATTTCGATTCAGAGTTACTGAACACGTCAGTTATTAATCACATAGGTATAAAGATTCTATCAAGGCTAGAGCCTCGTAAAATGCAACACAGTGGAAATTAAAAATTTATTGTCTGACCTGAAATCCAGTATATTTGTTTTTCCAAACAAACTAAGATCAAACTAAAGTGGTTTACGTTAATATTAAACATTACTGTTTGATGACTAATACCATCTCATTCACCCATGAAATGTTGGTTTAAAGAACCCGAAATGTTGGTTTGTCTGAAAAAACAAATACACGCCATTTTAGCCCAAAAAATACGCAATTTCCAACAACACATAAGTACAGTGTACTTCGACCCTAATCAGGTTGTTTTTCTTTACGTCCTGTGTCCTCTAAACGTTGTAATCTTAAATGGCTTCTCGCTCAAATTCCAGGCCCGAGATGGATCAGAAAGAGAGAGTTGGGTGCGAGCATTAGAGGACACCATATCAAGACACGGTCGGCGAGAAAGATGGTCACGTTGCGTGCCCGCACCTTCGCACAGGCACGGGGACTTGGAACGGCGCATCTCAGAGGCTGATGCTTATCTGCAGATTATGATCGAACTAGTTTCTGTAAGTACCATACAACATACGCCTTCTCCACTCGCATCAGTTTCTTCAGATCATTCTCGGACTAGGTAGTGAACACTAGTCCGAGAATGACCGCTTCATACATTCCCGTTTAGTCTTGCACATTTTAACTTGGCCTCTTTTAAAGTGTTTGTGATAACAAACTCGAATTTCTTTTTTTCGAATTTCAATACTCCGAAAACGGTTCGACTTTTTTTCATTAGTGCGATGACAGTTTTGTTATAAATTAGCAACACAGAAACGTCTTACAGCAGAAGTATGGTTTGTCCGAAAACCTATTATTAGAATTATTATTACACTTACGTATTCTTTGGGCAGAAGTTTGTTTGGTCTAATCATGTTTGTTATACTGTCTGTTTTTCAATAAAAGTCTAAAGGTTTTCGGAGAATCAAAATTCTGTAAATCATGTTTCTAGCTTGTGATGGGTAACCCTTTTAAGGTCATCCTAATCCGATCGAGATACTTTGTTATCGAAAAGTTCTCATTTTTTATTCACTGTTCATGACTGTTTAATTGAAGGGGCAACTTCATTGACTTACAAATAAATGGACGACGGGTGTAATACAAAAACCACGAAAAAAATGTCCCAAGCCAACCTATTTAAACGTAGTGACATGTAAAGGAATATGAAAAAGCTAAAACGTTGAATTTAAATTGTAATGTCATCGCAGTACTGTCTAATTTTGCTTGCTTCGCTGTCAGTCGAACAAACGCAGACTAAAGCGTGAATGTCGCTCTGTATACGATTTTAACGCCCTATAAGTTCGGACACTTTTTAGCGCGGACCCGACGTCCATATAATTGTAAGTCAATGAGATTATGTGATTTTTAATTCGGGGTCTCGAAGAGATCATGGAGTTTGCAATATGTCCGAAACGTCGAAGTAATTACAATATGTTTTATACGTGATTAAGTCTCGAATTAAAAATCAAACAATGTGTGAAAATCTTGAAAGTTGTAAACAAAAAAATTATTGAGATTGATTACCGAAAAGTGCGCTTGACTAGATTCAACCCCTAGTTTGCCGCCCTTAAAGGTGGAATATCTTCTTCAAATTTATAAGGGACCAATACTGGGGTTACTCTCTTTCCAAAAAAAATATTATTAAATCGGCTCACAAATACCGAAGTAATCGCGTCACATATATATCGCACTGCTATTATAATAGTGTTATAACTCAAAATATGTCAAATTCAAGATTATAACTATTGCTGAATGTAAAATTTGATTCTCTACACATCAATAACACCGTCGTTAGAATAATGTAAGAAACAATTAAAATATAATATCTACTTAATTCAAAATGAGACAAGCTTTCTTGAGCTAGTTCTGGACAAAACAGTCTTTACTCAAAATTATGAAATTATTTAGATGTCTTTAGTAAAGTTTAACTTATACATACATTTTAATAACCTTTCACGAGTAGTGAGTAATTCGTTTTTCATCTATTCCAAAAAAAATACATTTTTTGAGTTAATACACTATTGTAATAACAGTGCGATATAAAAACATACAGTCGAATTGAGAACCTCGTTTTTTTTAAAGTCGGTTAATAATACTATTACAAAGAGCTACCCTTATCTTCTGACTTGTTTTTCTCAGAGGAATCACCTTTACTAATGAGTGTGACTATTTTTTGTCTAATTGGATTATCCGTTAAATAGTATTAGGTTATGTGCCTATTACATAATGAAAGGCATTAAAATGCTAGTGTGGGTTTATGAAAAGAGCTAGTTTCATAAAGACATCACACGAGTATTTGAATGCCTAGTTATTGTACAGTTACATACACTGCTTTATCTATACACATATTATAAGCTCTCTATGATGTGTTCAGGAAACGTATGTTACGACTGGCGAAATAGCGGCAAATAAAAACTTTTCTCGCGCATGTCACACAACCGTACTTATTATTTAATTCACAGACAAACTAGAGTCGGCTCCAACTATCATATCGTTCGATATCAAGTAACGTGCGAAATTTGTCAAAATTATTTGCTATTGACGTTTCATTTCGAATAAAACTCCATCTCGACTGATATTAGAATTGAGGTCGAATCAAATTGTTTTGTTTTTCGGAGATGTTCGAAATTTGAATGTAGTAATAAAATCGAATTTGATGTTAATAATAAGCAATAATAACATTTTCACAGATAAGAAATTTGTTCTAACAAAATAGTTTATCTTTATGCTGGTCGTAATTTGCGGTTTTTGAACACATCATAGAGGGTTTATGATATGTGTGTAGATAAAAGATACTATTTGAATTTGAAATGTTTTACAAATTACAAATTGCATTTTATGTAAAAAAATAAAAAACCCGATTTAATATGCCTTCTTTCTTATGTTCAGAAACTGAGCACCAGGGTATCAGAACTGCCAGATACACACGATAGGAATAAAGGACAAATAATTTTAGACCATTCCAATGTAAGTATACCTTCTTTTCTAAAACATAATGCTTTATAGTTTATTTCATTGTAATAATATTTTCTAACGCATATAAGAAATATCGAGTTCAGTTTTTATTCACTTCTTTAAATACGCCTACCTAATTGTTACCATTTGCTTTAAAAAAACGCAACTGAATTACGCACGCGGATATTTAGCAAAAGACAGTCGTGGTAGCCTAGTGGTTTGATTATCGAGTATATATAAGAAATAGAGACGAAATAAGGGCCATGCATCCTTAACAACTCATGAGCCAAGTGGTACTGATATCACTTTTGAATATGAACTCTCGTTTGCGCTGAACTCACAAAGACAAAAGAAGGCTGAAATAGTACAGCGCCAACAACTGACCTGTGAGTACGTCTCCGTATATTTCAAAAATATTCTGTATTTATTGTAATAAAGATAACATCGCTAACAATGGGGGGCTGTTCCATTTGGTGGTGTGAGGAAAATAGCAAAACATCTAGTTACAAAACAAACGGAATCACATTTCATTTAAATATGTACAGAATGGAACAGCCCCTCATAGGCTGTACCATTCTGTGGCGTGGGAAAAACAGCAAACAATCTAATTGCAAAACAAACGGAATCACATTTCATCGGTGATTAAATATTAAATTGTGTAATTTTTTTTTTCAATTTTCGTCCAATATATTTCTTTATATATATATTTAAATGAAATGTGATTCCGTTTGTTTTGCAACTAGATGTTTTGCTATTTTCCCCACACCACCAAATGGAACAGCCCTCCATTGTTAGCGACTTGTCATCGGTAATTAAATATTAAATATGTAATTTTTCAATTTTCGTCCATTATAGCAAACCTCAAGTTAAATTGATCGCTTTGAAGTGAAACCATTGACGACACCCGTCAATTGTTTCGAATTCGGGCTGGCCAATCGAATCGCAGTTGTCACCGTAATGATTTGGCAGAATAGTTTTCAAACAAATTAAATGACATTTCGAATCTATTTCTGGTTATATACTCGATGGGTTTGACCTACCGCCTCTCGAGCAGAAACCGTGGGTTCAAATCCGAGCCTGCACATCTGAGTTTCTCGGAATTTATGTGCTTTTCGGTAAAGGAAAACCTTGTGATGAAATCAGCACGTCGAAGGTTTACAACCCTCGAAAAACGAGTGAATTCCCCAACCCGCATTGAGCCAGCATGGCGGACTTATAGCCTAAAAACCTCGCCTGAGAGGAGAGCAGTGAGACATATAAATGCTTCGATGATGACCACTGGTCATCATAAATAGATGTCTTTACGACTGCAACTCAGACTGCATTTACATTATTCAGCAGTGTTTTTGTCAAGACTTGTTCCTAAGCATTTGCTATTATTTTTCAGTAGGCGTTGAACTGATAAATAAGCCAATTGATTTTGTAATGCTTTAAGTATACTTAGTGTGTCTTTCTTTTCAGGCGATGTTGGATAACATAAAACATTCCATAGTGCTTCTTCAAATAGCTAAGGTACAGTTGTGTTTATTTTGTGCTGTGAAGAGCTGCTTGTGTACAGCCGAATAACCTCGTACGGCGAAAGGTGCTAAGAAAATTACTATTAAGGCATCATTCATGTTACACCGTACCGAGGCCGGGCCGCGCCCCGGTCGTGCGCCGGCAGTGTCACGGTCAAATATCTATACATGCTTTTGTATGAACTTCATGTTAGACTGGGCAGAATCAGTGCCACGGCCAAGGCACGTTCGGGACCCGGTGTCGAGTATTTTTTTTCCCGGTTGCAATCTGGCCCGATGGCGTCACCTTGTAATATGAATACATTCGCCGGGCCACCGGAGGGTAGTCAACATCGGATTTATAGTGTCGGACAGCGCAAACGCAAAATGCTCTTATCATCTATTAAATCTTTGTATAGCGTTGCAAATTCTCCCTCGGGTTCACGTTTTCTCCAGCCAGGATGTACACACCATCTTTTTCTTGTTTCAATTTGTGTTTCCAATACTTCGTCATCAAGAGCTATTGCAAATGCATTAGTAACACAACCTTATCTGCTTATTTAACTGCCTCCGTGACCGAACGGTTGCCAGACCGGACTGCCACGCAGAGATCCCAGGTTCGATTCCTGGGCCGGGAGAAATATTTGTATGGCCTACATTTATTTCTCTCGTGAGTTTGGGTGTGATTTATAGTTGTCTATGTGTGTGTCCATGGCACCCGCAACACAGGGTTTCCCTAGTGCGGGACTGTGTTGAGTGTGTGCGTTATTATCTCAAGAGAGAAATGAAAAATAACAAAAAACCCAGCCGGCGCACGGTGGAAACGAACGGCACGACGACGGCCCGGACCCGGCACGGCGACGGCCCGGACCCGGCACGGTGTAACGTGAATCAGCCTTTACTTATTAATTTAATTGTTTGCAGGCTTTAATGTTTCACTAATCATTATTAGATTTAAATGTCAACACTGTCAAATGTTTGACGTAAAATGAGACTAAAAGTTCATACTGAACTGTAAGAGCAAAATATCATTGCGCCACGCTACCTTTCGCCTTATGTGGTTATTGGTTGATAAAAAATTTGCGTGAATTAGCTTAATAAATTTATTTATTTACTATACTTTTTTTTTACTAAACAATAGTACATTGTGTATTAAGGGCGGTAAATAAGAAATTCCTAACGAGAGCTCGTTAGAAGCCAGAAGCCGAAGGCTGAGGGCTTTAATGACCCGAGGTTTGTAATTTTTAAATTATGAAAAATACAATATTTTTCATCACATTTACGAGCAAATAAATACAACAATAATTTATTTCTTGTATGAATAAATGTCGCTTCACAACACAACATTTACGGATTTCGCAATAGACTTTTTTTTGTTTTTTTTTTAAACCGATTGCTTGCTATATACTTCCATAGATCGAACTAAAATGTTGTAAATGGCAGAGACGCATGCAGTCACAATGTATTAGATTTAAAGTAAATAATTTCCGAAGTTCTAAAAACATTGCATATTTTGAATTTGCAAAATAAATTTAGTAAAATATAGTTAAATTGGAAACGTTTTGTTTTTTTATCGTTCAAGTTTATGCGAAATATACTTTCATATTTTTCAAGCTTAAAAAGTTTTTGCTTAACCTTGCAAAAAAGTCTATAGGGCGATAATGTATTGAAAAAGCCCGTGGGCATAATTCAGGACGTTACGGTCGACTTTGCCTGCACGTCATGACACTGTTTACAAGCAAGAGTAATGAGAAATACATTTAAAAACGGGGTGTGTATCGGGATCTGTTTTCACTGTTTTCACGATTTTGATATCATTTCGTTATGTAAAGTAAACCTTCATTAATTCAATTTAGTGGCTGTAGAACTCCTTGTGAAAGAATTTGTCCAGGGAAGTACTGCCACTTCACCTATTACCTATTTCTGCCGCCAAGCAGCGCAAATGCGTCGAAGCTCGTCGATGTTTACAGGATTTCTGGCTTTAAGTAAATTCCCATAACAACTATTGAATATAGTGCCATCTAGTGTTCAGTAACGGAACTCCAAAAGTAAATAGTTCATATTAGCCATTTATAGAATATGATTTATTGCACACTGTCTTTAAGCCTGTAACATTTTAAAAAAGCAAACGTGGCAAGTAAAAAATAACGGTTGTGATTTTAAATATGTACAACACTGATCAATCGTTAAAAGTGACATTAGCTAATTTCAGACTAAGTATTAGTGTTAGGAAGTGAAACTATTTTTCCGGATTTAAATCGCGTATACTTGTTTTTTCAAACAAACCAACGTTTCGGACCCTTTACAGATACAAAACAAAACAAAAGAAATACAAATATACGCGATCCGGAAAAATAGTTTCATTTCCTATGTGTAGCAATCGCGAAAACCTAAAAACTTGTTAAGTATTAGTGATGTCATAATTTTTCAGATTTTTTACCAAAAAGTAGAGAACTTTCTGTATGCGCCTATAACCAAGTCCAAAAATTACAACTTTTTGCTTTGACACTTTTGGAATCGGTGTGCAACATGTAGTCCGTTTCGACGTTAGTAAGAATAACGTTACTGGATTCAAGTAAGGTCCATATTTCTACGCCATACTACGGCCATAGCCCGCCACGCTGGCCCAATGCGGGCTAGGGACTTCACAAGTTTTCCGAGGGCTGTGAACCTTCAACGTGCAGATTTTATCACGATGTTTCCTTCACCGAAAAGCTCATGATAAATTTAAAGTTAAATTTTGCATATAAATTCCAAGAAACTCAAAGGTTCCAGCCCGAATTCGAATCGTTCCCACGTTCTCTACTTCATTAGGTAACCATTAGGCAACCACGGCTTTTTTTCGTTTATTAATTTCGTTTAATAAAATTATATTATCTCAGTACGTAATGTAAGGTTAAGTATATTATTGTAAAGTAATACATATTGTTTGTTTTCATTTAAACATGCGTACTATGAAGATAATAACTAATGTATAAAAATATAGTAATGAAAATGTGATATTAAAACATAAAAAATTAATACAATGGTTGCCTTAATTTCAATTTTTTTAAGTTATGTCATTGCATTGAGTATATAACCAGAAATAGAGACTAAATGTCATTTAATTCGTTTGAAAACTATTCTGCCATATCATTACTGTGACAACTGCGCTCCGATTGGCTATCCCGAAACAATTGACGGGTGTCGTCAATTGTTTCACTTCAAATCGACCAGTTAGCTTGAGCTTTGCTATAAAGGACGAAAATTGCAAAATTACATACTTAATATTTAATTACCGATGTGACTCCGTTTGTTTTGTAATTAGATGTTTTGTTGTTTTTCCCCACTCCAACGAATTGAACAGCACGCCATTGTTAGAGACATTATCTTTATTACAATAAATACAGAATATTTTTTTGAAATATACGGAGACGTACACACAGGTCAGTAGTTGGCTGTCTATATTTCAATGCAAACGAGAGTTGATATTTATAAGAGCTGTATCGCTAATGTGTTACCAGGAATATATGGCCCTTATTTCGCCTCTATTTCTGGTTATATACTCGTTGTGTCATTGGCTTTTATTATGTTACTCAAACGATGTCATAATTGCGGCATATTTTTAAGGATCAGCGATCGGTCGCTGTCGAATTTTGACTTCGGAATGAAAGTCGGGTCAATCGGATCGCTATTGATATGCTAAATGGCACAAATATAAGCGTATTCTCAGGCATGAGAAGCAATATCGATTATCTGAGGCCACAGCAAAAGTTATTGTTAAACTGTAAATTTTAATTCCAGAATACAGTTAACCCTGTGAACGGCGTATATCAAGGGCCTATCACTCCCCAACAACATATCCAACCTCGTAAGTAAACAATTTAACTTATTACGTACTATATTAAGTCATAAATCCTATTAACGTCGTAGTCTTGCACGAAACCACAGATTACTTAATAGTTACTTTGTGACAGATACGTCACTCTCATACAAAATCAAATATACCTACGCTATAATAGCCTACTAAATCTGACTAATGACACCCGGCGCTCACTACGAGGAAAAAGAAACCTAAGCATGCGCTCAGAGAGATAAAAATAACGTTGCCCGCCGTGTGCAGGCGTGCGGAACCGAATGTTGGGGGTTGTATAAGGATTGTAATGTAAATGAAAGACTTGTCTGAGCGCTTGCACTGTCGGCGATACATTCAGCGGGTAGGCACTTTTCGCGTAACCTCGAGCGAGTGACGGAGTCTTGAATAAACTAGCAACATGGGGAATCACCACATGACGAATAACAAGTCAATAAAGGCGCTATAAAAGTTTATATCGTCCTTATGGTATAGCATCTGTAATATATCAACTCGTATATCGCACTATACGGGAAATTTAAATCAACCAATTACACAATTCTAAATTCTAACGTAAAACCTATTGGATAAGTTGCCATTAACTTTTAAATTAAAGTCATGAGAAACCCGTATATCTCACTACACAGGAAATTGAAATCAACCAATTACACTATTCCAAATTCTAACGTAAAAACCCATTGGATATGGCTTTTAAATTTAAAGTCGTGAGATTAGTCCCTTCGAATTTCGTACTGACATTATTGACAAATATGCGTGTTATCTATTAGCATTGTGTGTTACAAAAATCTACCTCCATTATTTGTAGGCTGCGACTTGGTCATGTGACCACTCCAGCGCACCTGTTCAAACTTTAAATTGTACCTGACCTGCATGCTCGTGCGAGGCCTCTGGGGATCTAAACCATATCTTCTCCTGCCCCTCAATTGGCCACGATACTTTCATATCCGAACGCCTGGCAATCAGTGGCCCATTCCCCACCTGCATAACAATTTTACTGTATTCATGTAAGAAAGATGTTTATAATGTACTGACCTTACTTATCGAAAATAATAATATGAAGCTTAAATATGTATGCCTATATATAATAGCTACCCACTTACCCAACCTACCATATCCTTGTTCATCCAAATTCCCTACCTCACCCTTTGCTTCTAGTACAAAATTGCTACGTTTTACGTCATATTTCGCTGGTTTCACTATTGTTTTCAAATCTAATTTGTGAGTTTTTGAGTGTTCGCGTCAATATCTTGATAATGTTGTTGATAAATGAAGAATCCCTGTTGATCTTAAAAATGGTATTTATTTCGTTAACTTGATTACAAAATGAATTACACCGCTTGCTTATGACAATGCCTTCATTGCAAATGTGAGATACATAATTTGAAAGATTTTGTGACAATTCTCGAGAATAATTAATATAATACTACAATGTAATCACCTCGGCGTAAGCAGGAAAGCTACCAGCAGAGGCCATTAGTATCGAGCAGATTAAAAGCCGTGGTAGCCTAATAGTTCGATCTACTGCCTCTCAAGCAGAGGGTCGTGGGTTTGAATCCGGGCTCGCACCTATCATGAGCTTTTCGATGAAGGAAAACATCTTGATGAAACCTTCACGTTGAAGAAGTTTCACAACCCTCGGAAAACGTGTATAGGCAACCCTCGTCCGAAAGGAGATCCGTGCCCAGCAGTGGGACGTCTAAACTTACTATTCGAGTTCGTCACTTTCGTGTTCATTATAAAGCTTTTTTGTACAGCGACCGAGATAGCCGCGCAGCGTGTTGAGCTAGGCTCCGAATGCCGCGAGCTGTCGACGCCGGTGCAGACAACACTGCCACCCCTCGAACACATGGACGCGCCAAGTATGTCTTTATCTTTAAGAATCTATACTACCTCAAATGACTTTATTTGATTCTGCATAACAGTGAGTGTTGATTTCTAAAAATGTTCACGACAGAAAAAAAAAACACAAACTTACCTCGAACTATATAGAACACGTATTTTTTTTTATAATATCAACTGGCGGGACGTACTCTAAATAAATCGCCCTTTAAATCGCAAAGATCTGAGGGGCACTGCCACTACACCCGACACCCTGAGACATAAGTTGACAAGTCCCATGTGCCTGTAATTTCACCAGCACCCGTACCCTTCAACAATGGACCACAGTAATGCTGACATTACTGCTTGGCGGCAGAAATAGATCAGGTGGCAGTACTTCCCTGGACGAACTCTTTCACATGGAGCTCTACTGCTATTACTACTACACGTTATACATTTTTCAATTGTAAAAAAAATAATTCTGAAATAAAGGCAGTGTCCAATGAATCGTAATTAGTAAGGAAAAAAAAAAATTCAAGCTGACTCTTAAGTGTGAGGCCAGACGAGCGTAATTTTGTGAGTTGTTAGTTGCATTTTTTGAGTTGCGCAGTTTGCGCTGCATTCGGTTTGAAACAAAAGTACGGTTTGTTTCACACGACGACGCAAAATGTATCTGTCGTCTCACGGGCGTAATGACGACTGACTGGACTGACTTTCGGTCGCATCGTGTGGCGGACTGGCGCGGGTGGAGGTAGGGGTGAGGGAAGGGGTCACTTTGGTATAGGATGCGCGTAAAAAACGTTTCTTGCGAAAATGTTCGATGCGGAAAAATCTATCACCGAGGTTGAACAACGTCCATGTTTATGGAATTTATCACAAAATTCATATAACAAATTGATCTGGATGTTCACAAGTACTTGTATTAATTATGAAACTGCCCATACTTTAATCGTTTCATATTGAGTGGATGTACCTAGCTTCTTTTTCTAACATCGTCTTCTAATGTCTCATAAATGCTATTCTTAATGGATTCATTACACTATTACGACACAAACACCTCGTATAAACGCTTAAAAGCAACTGAATAAATTACGTAAATATCGTCTGGCGCTCCAACCGAATTTCAGCCGAGCGCAAAAAAAAACGCAACTCACAACTCACAAAATTAGGCTCGTCTGTCCTCACACCAAATTGTACTTGATTCAACACGAATGCCGCTGTGGTCCTATTCTAGTTCTCAATATACCTTTGTAATAATATGAATGTGCCAGACCAAATGAAACTATTTTTTCGGATCTAAATCGCATTTATTTGTTGTTTCATTTTCAAACAAAGAAGTTTTTACATATTATTATAATTCCAATAAAATGAAAAGAATTTTTAACTATACTTATTGAAAGTATGAACATAAATCCTAGTGCTATTACAATATTGTTATATGTGTTATAACTCAAAATATGTGAAATTCAAGATTATACTATCGCTGAACGTAAAATTTAATTCTCTACGCGTCAATAAAACCGTCGTTAGAATATTGTTAGAAACAATCAAAAGATATCTTCTTGACTCTAAATGACAAATTTGACAAACTTTTTGTGAGCTAGTTCTGGACAAGATTGTCCTTACTAAAATTTTTTTTTTTACTTATTTAGCAATTTATTTCAGGCCACATAACCCATGTAATGTCTGTTCAAAGGTAAAAGCGCATTAATATTTCCACAAAAAGTCTAATTTATTGCTATGGTAAGATATTCACTATCTTTCTGCAGGTGAAACTCAATAACAAAAAAGCTGTAAACTCAGTAAGAGTTTTATCTGCAGATAGATGGTGATTTGTGAAAAATGTCACTTATGTGGTATTACCTTTAAGCAGACAATAATTATACCTCAAGGACTAACATACATACAATATAATAAACTAAATAGCTACTCTACACGAATTGCACTTGTCGGCGACATGTGGCGCAACCCTTCGGCCTAAATTCCTCCTTCATGAAGGTCGACAGATGTTCGGTCGGTATTCTCACCACAAACGAATTAAAATTCAGGTTGTGGCGGGACTCCAACCGCTCGACCCTCAGGGTGTATTTGGCTTTTTTTATGTACTCCATTATCTCATCAGACTTCGTGGTGTAATGTAGTCGCGACAGGTACAGCAGCGTCGTTGGTATGGCCGGACGCAGCAGAAAGTTCGATCCCGACGGTGCTGTGGACACAGGTTACGGCTGGTGGGTTTCCTCTTCCTCTTCACCACCTTTGTGAAGCCGTCCTCGTTACACTGATCCGTCTTCCTCTGTGGTTTGCAACTTCAGAGACAGGCACATAGGGGTTGCTTTTGCTCTTAGCCCATTGCCGTCGGGTTTCGAAGTGGAGGGTCGGCTGGTGGAAGCGACTACAGCGGCGTTTTGCACGTGCAAAATATGAAATTACATTTTCGCTTTTATTTTTAAATATATTTGGCAAGTAGGAAATTGTTTAGATGTCGTAATTAAACTTAAATCTACACATAAATTTTAATATTCTTTCACGGGAAATTTCGTTTTTCATCCATTCTAATAAAATATACTTTTTGAGTTAATACACTATTTTATTAATAGTGCGATATGTTCTGTGTAGGACAACCCATGTCCCTTCTGGTGCCGGATACGTCGTATTCGTCGTCGGAGGGCGAAGACGACTTCTACGATGCAGATGATGGTGTTATACCACAGCCCGGGCCTAGGTAAGTACTTAGATTTTTTTATAGTTTACAGTCGGCGTAGTATATACCTATGTAATTACTTACATAGGTATATATAATAGATACCATATTGCGCTACGTATGTACTTGCGCAGAGCAACAGTGGGGTACTCGCGGAGAAGCGGGCGCCGTAGGCCATGTCCCACAAACGCGTTTAGTCACAACACAACAAAATTGTGGATTTTGCAAACGGGTTTTTGTTTTTTTTTTTATCAACAGATGGCCAGCCAGCTAATCTTCCATAGATAATACAACTCGAACTAAAATGTTGTAAAACGCAAAGACGCACACAGCCATTATGGATTGTAAAAAAGATTTGCAAAATTTTTGTACGGAAAATTATTAAAATCAATAATACGAAATTCTTAACAATAAGTATTTAAGTAGTACAGTCAATTCGGGTAACTTTGAATCGTGGTGTAACTTTGAACGTAGTTGCGTAAAAGATTTAAAAATTTATTTTATGTATGGCGATCTTTTATTTTTAGTATTGAAACTGTGTAAATCGGAACAAAATTGTTAAACGAAAGTTATGAAAGAAAAAGTAATGTTAAATTGTATTTTTTTAAACTTTCGCGGTTTTTTCTTGGCGAAAGTAGTTTGGTGTGATTTGTTGCTCAGTTTTAGAATCGGAATTAAATATATAAATCTGAATATTGACTGGTAAGTTTTGGTTTCCACACTTAAATAGAGGTTTATATATCACTTTTTTAAAGAATAATTTAATTTGGTTTTGTTTTTGCGCGTAAAACGAATTAGATTTTGACGACGTTACCAAACAGAGAAATTTGGGTAACTTTGAATGTGTTTGACTGTGTTTTTAGAGAAGAGGGTAGTCTGTTTCCAGGGAGAGTTCTAAAAGTTACTCCTTTGGAAATTACTGTCTCAGTGCTCCAAAAATGCTTTTTAGGAGGTTGGTCTTGGCCCTCTAACGTTGAGACATGTCAAGTTAATAAAGCCGATATTGTGAATATTATAAAAGAGCAACAGCTATCTAGAAAAGGCGGCCGTATTTATATTGATGACGACATTTTATTCAAGGAGTGGGGTGAATAGATTTTTGTTATGTATTTACTTTGCCTAAAATAATTGTTATAGGTGATTCATTTTGATCTCGTTTGATAGCTAAATAAGCGTAGAATTTATTATTGAACAGAAAATTTTCATTTTTATTCGCATTAATTAAAAAATCTAAAAAAAAAACAAGTTTTTCATTTCAACTAAATTAGTTCGTCTCGTTTTATTATGGCAATACCAAGTCAAATGTCGTTTTTGAACGCACTGTCAGGAATATTTTTTTTTAGATGTGAATACATCTAAAAAATATTAATATGTCGTATAATCTTACACAAACTGTAAAATATCTAGAAAATATACGGTTTCCATATCGAAGGCTAATCTTATTCAAAGTTACCTAAAATTCAAGGCAACTTTGAATGTGACTTTTGGAGCAAATCTAGAACAGTTTTGTTGAATAATTATTAAATTCCTTCTATAAGAACGAAAAAAGGGCTTAAAAGAACACTATTCAGTTAATAAAGTAATTGTTAAGAAACATAATTAAATTTGAAATTATTAGAAAAACACAAAAAATGTTCAAAGTTACCCGAATTGACTGTAAGTGACTGAATTGCAATTAAATTTCTGTTTTGATAACATTTTAAACGAATGTTTTAATTTGAACTTAAGTAACCTTGCTTGAACTTGAATCTCACCTATGAAAGTAAGTATGTCGTGCAACAAATTAAAAAGAAAACTCATATCGTGCATGGCTATAATGGGAAGAAAAAAGGCCCCAAGATTTTATTTGGGGCATATAGTCAAGTTAACCACCATGCAATCGTACTATTTACTAGCAAGTGTGATGAAAACAATATTTTCTTGAACAATCTTGGAAATGATGCTTACTACTTTACTTGGAAGTAATGCTACTTTCAAAAAATGAACTCGGAAAGTGTTGAGTGTGTGTGTGCGTTATAAAGTTTCTCGTGTAAGGACCGTGCGAATTCTTCACAGACAAGGTCTGCAAAGTAAGTGTGAAAATCCAGTACTGTCCGCTGCTTTAAACTTTTAATCTATGTACTAAAACAATGATCTATGTTAACTGGCAAATGAAAAATTCATACGGCCCAGTATTCGTAATTGCGAGAATTAAAAATGTCTACGTGTATTGTTAATGAAAAAAAGGACAATGGTGGTAAAATAAACTAAAGTGCTTTGGTATTATTTTCCGTTCTTTCGTGTTTTTTTTTTGTATTTTCGTCGCGAAAATGAGCTCTAGTGAAAAGAACGATTACGAAAATAGAGTAATGGATTTCACATAACATTCAACCTCTTCATCAGAAGTTCAGCAAACTACTATTAATGTGCCTGGAAAAAGAGTAACATTTTCTTGAAGCAATATAATTGTCCTGACAAGTCGAATATTACTTTTAATATTAATTTAATTTGTTTACTTTTTCTGTTTAGGTTTTTTATTATTTCCTCATATTGTTTGAGAAAAGCACTATATAAGCTTCGGCGGGATCGGGAATTGTTAGACTTTTACTAATACACTCATACTCGTCCAGCCATCCTTTATTTCCCGACCTCTGCAATAATGTACATTTTTAAAAGCTCTACTGGCCTTGCGTTTTATTTTTTTGCATACACTACATTAGTGTGGATTGTACAAGTCATTAAAAATATTTCTATGATTTAAAAAAAAAAATAGCTAACAGACACACACACAAACAAACGTTTCACTTGTAAATCTCCTCCTTTTCCGTTGGTGGTTAATTAAACAAAGCTATGATCACAGAAATTAGGTCACCCGGAATGAGAGGTCGATGCACTAGGTCGTGAACTTACTAGCATAGTGCAGGTATCAAGAACAACGCCACTTCCGAGTACTTACCAAGTTTCCTATTTATGACGTGTTGATGACGCATGCCGGTTATATTCGGTGAATAAGAAATACGGCTCTCTGTGAGCGTTGCCAATTTAGTGCGTTTGTCATTAGATTGACTGCGAAATATTGACAAATAACAAATTCTGGACTGTAACTATAATTTAAATTTTAGCCTGCTGGCATATCGTTTCAAGTTCAATAGCATCTATGCCTATTATTGCTATATTTTGATTTTATATTGAAATTTAAATCAATGTGCTGCCATCTAGCGGTTAATAGCTGAACGACGACGAATTTGAGATGTTTATTAAGTTCTCCAAGTGAAGCGACCATATTGCAGCGATATAATGTTTACTCTCATTTCTTGTAACAAAAAAAATATTTAAAGTAAATAAAATGAGACTTAATGATGATACGAAACACCACCATAATTAATATTAGAAGTGCGACTATCACTTTTGCGCTCCAAAGTAGCGAAATACATAAAGTACAAAGCGAAAATGGCTGACTGAGCTCAAGTTTGCGGAATCCCGCGAACTGTTGGCACGTGTGCCATGCAAACTAAGCACTTCAACTATATTTATTGTTATGTGATCTTGTTCTATAAATGAGTAATATTCATTCAATATTTCGGAAAAAATAAACGTAAAAGCTATTTAGGACATGAAACTATTTGCTTCAAGTCTTATTTTCAGTCAAGTTTTATTTTCAAATAAACCGACGTTTCGGGTCCTTTACAGGTACCATGGCCACAGCTAAATAAGAGCGAAAATTACATTCGCGTCTTTTTCGCTGTTATTAAATTGACACAAAGATTTTTCTGACCGACTTAATCTACCGTGTCGACTAATAACTCCCATAGATGGATATTCAAGGCATCACAGGTATGAAAAGTAGGAGAGACCCGGTTGAAATCGTGAGCTAGTATTTTAGGTCAGCACTAACTGAGCTCGAAGTATGTGAACGAACGACCGGTCGATGAACTTTGAACCGGGTGCATCGGGAATACGGTAAATAATAAAATATATTTTGAATTTCAGTGTGAAGATGGGTATTAATTACGAGTAAGGGGTTATCTTTTAGTGTAGAAGTTCTGGACTGCCACGTCCCGGCCCGGGTTCGACTCCTGGGCCGGTATAAATATTTGTATGGCCTACATTTATTTATCTCGTGCGTTTGGGTGTAATTTATGGTTGTCTATGTGTGTGCCCATGTCACCCGCGATACAGGGTTTCCGTAGTGCGGGGCTGTGAGTGTTTGCGCGTTATTATTATTTTAGACTCTCGCCTCTCCCAAGGCCTAAAAGATTAGTTTTGAATTTTTAAAGGGGAAAAGCGGTATTCCCCGGCACCCATCTCATGCAGATGTCCTTGAAAAGGGCCGGGTTAAAAGTACCACGAATATACGGATATATGAAGAGACTGATGGAGGAGGCTATGGAGGTTTGTCAGGAGCGTAGCAGGTGGAGGTCCGTAGTAGAGGCATAAAGGCTTTTGGTTCGTGGATGAAAAGTCAAAGTCAAAGATCATTTATTCCATAGGTAAAATAAAAATTACACTTGAAAACGTCACTTTTAAGCTACTGCTCGTTCACTACACTGACCTCCCTGAGAAGAACGAGCAAGAAAGTCTAGGGATTACTCTTTTAAATAAACTTAAATGCTGTGGAATACACTTTGAATCAAATTTGTATGGATTTTGGAGTCGTGTCGTCTTTCCATACATCCAGTGTTGGGCGTTAATCAATTAAATTTCAATCAGAAATTCAATCAGATTAAAAAATCAATTGCAATTGATTTTAATTGCAATTAATGCGGTAGGGGGGCCGATTGGGGGTTCGGTTGGGTTCGGTTGGGGAGCCGTTTGGGGGGCGGTCCGGGGTGAGTGACCCACCCCCTAACCCAACCCACACACACACCCGCTCACCCACCTACTTACCCACCCACTCACCCGCTCACCCACCTACTCACCCACCCACTCAAACCCACTCACCCACCCATTTGAAGGGTAATAATGGTGCTGGTGAAATCACAGGCACATGGGACATGTCAACTCATGACTCATGGTGACGGGTGCTATGGCTGTGCCCCTAT